TCGCCGCTCTTAAAGTTGAAACATTTAAATCCTCCAAGTCTCCAAGTTGAAGTCTTTAAGTCCATCGGTCTTCAAGTTGAAATCTTCAAGTTCGCCGCTCTTCAAGTTGAAATATTTAAGCCTTTCAAGTCTCCAGGTTAAAGTCTTCAAGTCTGTCGGTCTTCAAGTTGAAGTCTTCAAGTCTGTCAATCTTCAAGTTGAATTATTTAAGTCCTCCAAATCTTCAAGTTGAAGTCTTCAAGCCTTCTAATTTTTCAAGTTGAAGTTTAAAAGTTCACCACTCTTCAAGTTAAAGTCTGCGAAGTTCGCCAAATCTTCAAAGTTTACCAAGTATTCGAGTTGAAACTTTCTAATTTTCCAATCTTAAGGTGGACATTTAAATCCCTTTGCACCTTAAGTTGGCCTCTTCGTGGGTTTGTCCTTAAAAGGAACTATAACTTTCCAATCTTAAGATGGGCATGTAAGCCCCTTTGCACCTTAAGCCCCTTGGATTTGTCCTCCCATATGATGTTTGAGGATTTGTCCATCTATTTGTTTCCATGGACTTGTACTTCGATATGCCATATGAACCTTTGCGTCCTGAAATGGCCTCCGATTTTTTGGGCAGGGATGAGTATCCATCCATTCACACCTCGAGAGTAATCTCTACGATAGTCGGGTCGTTTTGAGAGCAATCTCTCCGATAGTCTAGCCATATTGAGAATAATCTCTCCGATAGTTGAGCCACCTTGAGAGTAATCTCTCCGATAGTCGGGTCGTTTTGAGAGTAATCTCTCCGATAGTCGGGTCGTTTTGAGAGTAATCTCTCCGATAGTCGAGCCACATTAAGAGTAATCTCTCCGATAGTCGGGTCGTTTTGGGAGAAATCGCTCCGATAGTCGGGTCACATTGAGAGTAATCTCTCCGATAGTCGGGCCACATTAAGAGTAATCTCTCCAATAGTCGAGCCACATTGAGAGTAATCTCTCCGATAGTCGAACCGCATTGAGAGTAATCTCTCCGATAGTCGAGTCACATTGAGAGTAATCTCTCCGATAGTCGAGCCACATTGAGAGTAATCTCAATCTCTCCGATAATCAAGCCACATTAATGTAATCTCTCCGATATTCAGGTCACCTTGAGAGTAATCTTTTCAATATTTGGACAGGGATGAGTATTCATCCCCTCACTATGATTGTCTTCTTCATGCATAGATCATCTTGTAAAACAAGAACAAATCCTTCTCGTTTGACCTAAAAAAAAAAGGACTACAAAGAAAGAAAAGCACAAGTAAAGAAGAGGAGATGACCTTCGCATCAATGCTTCTGAGTCTACAAAACTAGACTCAAATAGCTTGCAAATAATGCAAATTGATGCTCAACGAATAGGAGCGCATGAGTTTATATAGATCTCCATAGACGGCTTCCAATAGTATATTACCGATGTGGGAGTCAGCTAATTCAATTTCTCCTAGAAGAACATAGTTAATGGCGGCACATACGTTATTTTACTCCAAGAAGGAATCTTACTTACAGTGTCCAATTTAAAGTTTATTGACTTCCTAAAGCAGTTAAATTCCGTCAAATTTGGAGTTTTAGCGACTTGAATTATCTTGTGCCACGTCCGAAAACGTGTGGATTTTCCTGAGTTCAAGTTAGAAATGAGTCTGGTTGTCTCGTATATGCAAAAGACAACTATGAGAAATAATTCATGCACCCAATAGCATTTGAAATAAAAGGTGAATCATGGCGAGGAAAAAAAATGCAAATGCATAAGAAGGCATTATGATGTGGTATCCATTTGTGCCATGAGAAATAAAGCACTAAGATTTTGACAACAATTCCTATTTACAGTGATGGCAATTAGTCTTGATATTATCCTACTGTATATAAACTCTTTAGAAAGGAATTTTTTGGAAAGTTTAAAGTCAGGTAGCGTTAATACATTTGATAAGCAAATTGTAATTTGCTGGAATTATCAAAGTATAGTTATAGTACTTCAAGCCATGTCTTTAATATTCATAGGTTTATATTTTGACAAGTCTTAAAGTAGGGGCATTTGTACGCATACAAAAATTATTGGATTTAAATTCATAAAATAATTTGGGCTATATTTTAATCCAAGATATATTAGTTCAAATAAATTTATTGGGCTAATATAATAGGATTAGTTATATAAGTCCAATATATACGGATTAATAAATAAGTCCAAATTTATTGGGTTAGCCTATTTAATTGTGCTACAAGTAATGAGCCCACTTCATCAGACCTAAGATATAATCTTCCTAGAAGCCCAGTTTGGTGCCACGCGTGAAATGACGTGATACGCCAAGTCAAACGAAAGAGCCAATAGGATCGTGCTATATGTTAAAATGACAAGGCATGCCAAGTCAAATTAAATGGCCAATGAAACTGCGCCACGTGTGCAAGTGACATGTTCTGGCCAATTAAATGCGGCCTTGTCACACTTCAATTAGATTGGTCGGAAAGAGTTTGTTCTTATCATAACTCTTCCATCCCACAACTATAAATAGGGGTATTCATAACCCAGAAAAGACACCAGAAGTTATAACAAGAAGCAAGAAAGAGCTCGTGGATCAAACGCTGCAAATTCTTCCATAAGTTTCAAGCTTCAAGCAATCAAGTTCAAGCTCAAGAACGAAGAACAAGTCAGGTTCAAACTCAAGAACGAAGAACAAATCAAGTTCAAGTTCAAGCAATCAAGCTCAAGGTCAAGAACAAGATCATCGTTCATGGCAACAACTATATATTCAAGATCAAGCTCGAAGGCCCTTGAATTTATTTACTATTGGAAAGAAGAATCAGAGGATTCATAGAGATTGTACACTCATATTATTTGAAATCAAATACTACAATTGTTGCGATATTTTTCGGTCTTGATTTTATTTTTTCGACACAATTTATTGTCTACATTATCATCATCATCTAATTCTACTCAACATTTACTTGGACAAAGACGATTCTGACGAAAACAATGGGTTATTGCCCAATCTGCCTAATTCAAATCAAATTTTATTTTCTTTATTTATTTTCTAATAATTTTATAATTACTTACGAAATGTCATTTTTTCCTATTATGACTATAGATCTAACCTAACAAAAAAAAAAAGGAATATTCTTAGAAATATCTTTCACAAATTTTTTTTATAGGTCAATTTGGGCTATATATTAGTCCGAAATAAATCAGATGCTAATTTAACAAGGAATTTTTTTTTCGTTCCTATATAATATTTGAAACTTATTTACCAAAATTGTTCTAATTTTGTATATTACCTGCCCAAAACAAGGATTACTTACAAATTATATACGTTCCACCTTAAAAGGCTCTCAATCCATTATTAGTATCTTCAATCAAGGGATTTAGTTACACTCTTTTCCTTTTTTTCTCTCCTCTCTCCCCTCTTCTCTCCAGGTCGAAAATATTTAGCAATCAAATCCAGTAGCAGTTTTTATCACAAAAATTTAAGGATTACGACAGATCAACTGATTAGCAACAATTAACTTAAAAGAAGATAGGAATTTTCATCCCAAAAATTTTAAACGGGGAAACTGATTCAATCATTAAAGTCGATTACTTCAATTGTCTCAGCATTGAAAATTATTTTATTGGTGAAGTCGAGAAAGGAAACTAAAATTTGTAAAGTTTCAATTAAAAAATCTCAGAATATTCAACTTCAACTTTGAAATCTAAAATTTGTTAGTTGTTTTTGAGTGGGTGTGGCTGAAATTTATCGAAAATACTTGGACAAAGTTATATACAAAAATTGAGAAAAATTAAAAGTGATTTGGACTGGTTTGAATCAAAATTCATAACTGAAATTGGTTGAAAAATGTCTTTACGACACATGTATCTTGAATATATCTCAATTGATTCCCATGTATATCCCATACACGAATATACATATATTATATATTATACAACTTATTTATAATTTATCTACAAATTTCATACATTATTTCTACCCAGTTAAATACAACTACAATATCATACAACTTAAATACAACTTTTCTACAAATTTTATACAATATGTAATTTGTATATATTTTGTATATATTTTGTCTGTGGTGTGTACTTCTTCCTCTCTAAATTCCAATCAAAACTTACTCGCTTAATATAATTTTGATATATATCAGCAACTTTATGTAAAAAGATAGTATTGATAACTTAAATACAAAATTTATACAATGATTCATATATTATACAACTATTTTTTAACTTTCATACAACATTCAAATAAAAATATATANATGTTCTTCTTCTTCTTCTTCCTCTTCTTCTTCTTCTTCTTCGGGTTTCAATCTGAAATTCAGCCAAAATTAAGTCTAATCTTCATCAAAACACTCTCAAAATTGAGATATAAACACCAAACAATATTCCAAATTGTTTGCAACAACACCTATTCCAAACAAATAATGGTTTTTAAAAACCCAAATTCGATTTCAAAGCTTCAAAGCTTTTTAATGGCTGTAAATGGTGGAGAGTCAAACACCTTCAAAATTTATTGATTGACAATTTCAATTTGAACACCAATTGTGCAACATGAAAGGAAATTGCTAAGTTAAAACGATTGAAATCCATTGATAAAATCCATTAAAACTCTATACAACAAGAAAGTATAGAAAAACAGAGAATATCAAATGAAGAAAAATTGGGAAAAAAATAAAGGAGAGTAGAGAGACATAGAGAGACGAAGAGAAAGAGAGTGAGCAAGCATACATGGATAAGGAAATAACTGATATTCCTTATTCAATTCCTAATATAAAGGGATACTAATTTAAAACTTATTTGTATATAATTGATAAATTGTATATGACCGTATAATTAAATTGAAACTTGACTAAGAAGGGTAATAAGGTTTCAAATAGTGTATAGGAAATTAAAAATTTTATTTAGCAATGAAAAATATGTCCAGTCCAAACAAACTCCGAACTTGAACAGATTAAGCAAGTCAAATAAATTTGGGCTATTTGCTACTCTTAGTGACATATATTTAAGTAATTCAACCCTAAATAGAGCTGCAGCCGCAGCAGATGAAATGAAAGTGAGGGTTGGATCCATGCAGCAGCAATCTGGATGTTGTGAGGTTTGCACCGCCCGGCAACCTCTCATCCGCCACCTTCTTCCCTACAGAGGTCTCCACCGCCGCCTCTGCACCGCCTGCGTACTGGCGGCGCACCCTGGTTCCTTCTGTCCTATCTGTTTCGAAGTCTTCCTCCACAACAACCCTCCTCCTCCTCGTCTCCGTCTCCATTGCTTCAAATGCCCTTCCATCGCCCACCTCTCATGTGATGTTGCTGCTCCTGCTCATGCTCATTACTTGTGCCCTCCCTGTTCCAACCCTAATTTCACCTTTTTCAACCTTCCTCGCACTGAACCCGTCCAGATCAACCTACATTTGGCTAAACAGTTGCTCGCCGCTGCTTCCATTGCTTTTGAGTCTATCAACAATGCTGCCGTTATCTCGAGGATTAACGCTGAGATTAGGGTCAAAGAAGCTCTGTTGGCTAAGGCTGAAGTTGGCCAATTTTTAATGAATCATCATTTAATGCCCAAAGAGAAAAGATGCTTATCTCAATCTTCTGATGATGATAGCTCAAGCAGTTGAGATTCTGCTGGTGTATAACTTCGCTCTTTTTTCAATGATTGGGGCTAGTTTTAGGAAAATATACGAATTGGAATTATTCATCTAGCCTCTCTCTTGAACATGCTGTCAAATTTTGAGCTATAATTGATACTAAAAAGAAATTGTTTATGAGACTAACATGCATCTAGGTGTAGTATGTTTTGCATCAGACTAACATTTCAAAGCGCTTTAATTGATTGGACCTTGATTACTTCCTTGTTAAATTGGTTTAGAATTTTGGCACAATTACTAGCATAGGAAACATGGTCCTGCCCCTAATCTGGCCTAAACATACCTTAAAAAAAATTTGGTGCACTTTTCTGGTGTATAAAGTTGAAATTGAGATATGGCAAGGGTGAAGTTTGTCTCTTGAAAGCATTTTACATGGAAACTACTTCTTTACAGTAATGTATTTTGAAAACAATGACAAGGAAACACGACGAGTCATCCTCACAAGTAACAAGACGTAGTAGAATGGTGCCTGTGATAATGGTTGGTTAAAATGATATGCTATTATTTGTGTTGATCTCTAATTTAATTATTGGCTTTGGTCACAATTGTTTCTTTTTGTTACCAAATTGTCAGTGTTTGCGTATCACTGTGGCTTCTTGTTTTTAAGTGGTAGGCAGAGAAGCACTATCCTGATTAGAAAACGATTGCCAAATTATTTCTTTGTGTTTGATGTAGTTGTTATAGAATAACTCCTCCCTCTTATGATATATTGAAACAGTATTTTTTTTCTTATTGGCTGATGCTAATGCGTGTGGGACTTTTATTTCCAAATCATTAGATCTGTGTATGAGTTCCATGTTTTTAGGACGCAGATAATTCTGTTGAAGACTGGTCACAGTGGGTTTCATGATTTTCAGGTTTGTTACTGCTAGATTTCTATCCTAAAAGGTACAACCAGTTAGCGTAGACGTTGATATTCTTTTTATCAAAGGACATGCAATGAGGGCCTTTTAGCTTTGAAGATGTGAGCCCTGACGATATGTACGTCTCTTCTAGCTTTTCTCCTTAGATCGTTAATCTTCTTTGGACAGAATGTCTATCTTCTGTAGAAAAAAGGATCAATTATTTTGTTGAAACAATAATATTTCTAGGGCCTTTGATATTTCAGGTTGATGATGTGTCTTGTCCAGTGGTTACAATAGTTTTTTATTTTCCTTCTACAAAGTACTCACTGATCATGTCTCTTTTGTGCTTGTTTTCGCTACAATTAATATGTAACGATAATATATATGCTGGTGTGCAGAAATTTGAGCTGAATTTGGATCTAACATGGCACGCGAAAGCATCCTGTACAAACTCATAAAAATGTTATTTTCAGAGGTGGGTCTTTATGTCATCATACAATCTGTTATTTTCTTAGTAGTTACCACTTCACATAACATGACAAAAGAAAGTATGAGCTTTTAATGAATTCTGCTGTTTTCCCAGCCTTAGATATCATACTTGAGAAAAACTTCTGAGCTTCTTTATTGGACCGGTAGGAAACCAATTACTTTTATTAAACGATTTGGTCTTCATAGAGATGTGACTCTGAAGACGTTAATCAACGGATACGCACAACACAAAGTAGTGTGGATCCTTCTGTTTTGTATGCCAAGTCAGCTTTCTCCGGCAAGCTTGTCGTTGGGAAGACCACAATTCAGACTGAGAAGGAAAATGCAGCATGTGTGTGGACCAAAGTGTAATGCTCATATCGTGAAAATGTTTATGCATACATGTTTGAGAGCCTTTGTCGGGGCAGGATGCCGATTACTTGGACGTAATATAATACAATCTAGGAAGCCACAGCATTTCACCATACAAGGCAAGTTTCTTCACAACTGATTTTTGAAGTTATATTACTCTTTTGTAAGAGCTTTTACCTATAAGAGCAAGAGCCATCATTTTACTGGTACAGTTTTTGTCTCCATAAGATACTTCCTTAAATATATGTAAAATAAATACTTAATTTACTATGCAATAATGATTCCAAAGTTGCCTGCTAAATAAAGAATTTGCATAAGACTTTCATTACCATCTTATCACATTTCCTTTTAATCTGCCTATCTCGTGCAGAATTTGCGCTCAAATACAATGGTATCTTCCAAAATTAAACTAGGCGGTGACTCCTTAAGCTACTGTTACAAAAATATTCTAAAAGTCCAAAAACAATTCTTTCTATGATCGAGTTTGTGAATGAAGATTGAGAGTGAATGCACCGAAGACGAAGCTTTAGAAATTATAGATACGGAGTAATATTTTTCAGAAAGAATTGAGGAGGATCAAGTATATAAGGACAAGGAGACGATCGTGAGTATAATGCAAAATTACTATCAACGAAAAGATCCAGTTTAAGGTTTGAAAGTCAAGCGCCACGACGCCCACGAGGTACAATCAATTGTATATTATGATGTGTATTTGTATAAAATAAGGAATCTTGCATAAATGTGTCAAATAGTTCTAACCTACCGACCTCTATCCATTAATCATATACTTATCAAAACTAGCAAATCACATACAAAACTGAAAACTCAAATAAATAAGAATTCTTTCTCTTCAAGAATAACACGCAAAGATTTCTTTCCATATTTTTAAGCGTGATCAGCAACATTAGATTCAAGACCGAAAGAAAATTTTTGTGGATGAGGTAGCAAACAAGGTGATCAAATAAAAAAATAAAAAAATATATATAGAGAGAGAGAGACTATTCAAAAATTTTAAGCAAAAAGGGACCTTTTTCAATGGGTATGGTTGAAATTCGTTGAAAACATATAGATGAGTTAATATACAAAATTTGAGGAAGATTGGAGGTGATTTGGACTGATTTAATATCAAAATTCGTAGTTAAAATCGAGTTCATAAAAAATTCTTCCGCGGCACATGTATCATGTATCTCACATACAAGTATACATGAATATACATGTGATACACATTTGATACAAATATGATACATATGTGATATACAAATAATACATATTGTGATATGTATACCATCTTTTTCCATGTTCATCCACTTCAAATTTCAATTCAAAGCACCTCAAAATTCTACCAAATCATCCCAAAACTGAGATTTAAACTCCTTAAGATGTATCCAATCTATTTCAACAGCACCCACTTAAAAGAAAGCAAAACTTTAACAGTTTTTAGCTACAAATAGTTAATTGGCTAATATTAATAATATTTTGTGAATTGGCTAATTTTATACTAACTTACTTATGGACTGACATTACTGATAATTCCCTATAAAATATGACTATGAACTTTTACATGTATTATATTTATCTTTTTTTCAAATATGTACTAAGGTGTACACTGTTATATACAAATAATGTTGTTTGAATAATTATTCATGGCAATTGTACTTGTATTTTAAATATTTATGATTTTGTATAAATGTGTATCTACTAGTTGCGTTCTTAATATTTAGATAATGCCTATCTTGCAAAAATGATAATTGTGCTTGAAGTTGCAAGTATTCAGCAATATACACGTCAAAAAATTATGGGAATCTTACATAAATGTCCCAAATAAGTTCCAACTTATCAATCTCTAGCCATTAATCATAGACTTATCAAAAGTAGCCAAGCATATATAAAAATTAAAAACCCAAATAAATATGGTTCTTTCTCTCCAAGAATCACACACAAAGATCTGCTTCCATATTTTAAAGCATGATCAGCAACATTAGATGCAAGACGGAAAGAAAATTTCATGTATGAGGTAGCAAACTAGGTGATGATATATATATAAGATTCTAAAAATCTAAGCAAAAAAGGACCTTTTTCAATGGGTATGGTCGAAATTCATTGAAAACATATAGATGAGTCAATATACAATTTTTGAGGAAGATTGGAAGTGATTTGGACCGATTTGGTATCAAAATTCATAGTTAAGATCGAGTTCAGAAAATTCTTTTGCGACACATGTATCAAACATGTATTCACGCATGTATCACGCACATGTATATATGGATATACACATAATTCACATTTGATACAAATATGATACATATGTGATATACAAATGATACACAGTGTAATACACATATCAATTTTTTTTTCATGTTTCATCTTCTACTTCAAATTTTCAATTCAAACTACCTCAAATCTCCGTCAAATCATCTCAAAGCTGAGATTCAAAATCCTTACTATGTACCCAATCTATTCTAATAACATGCACTCAAAAAAAAGCAAAGATTTGACCTTTGTTTGGCCACAAATAGCTAATTGGCTAATAGTGGTGATATTTGGCTAATTTAACTATTAGAGTAATTACCCAATCCAATTTGGAAGATTTCTAAAATTCACCCTGGGCCCGCGTATCCGGATTCCGAAATTTTTCTTAAATAAATATTACCCATAACCTCACGAACACAAATATATAATTTTTACCCAATTCCTTAATTATTTTCGTAGTCTAATCCCGTTTTTTATTTTGACAAAACCTAGATTTTTAACAAAATACTGAAATTTCTATAATTTTTTTATTAAAATCTACCCATAATCTATGTATTAAACTCACATTGTGTATAATACACTTACCTCAAGATGCTAGGTGAAAATCCCTCTCTAAAAGCTCCAAAATCGGCCAAGAAATGTGAAAATGAAAGAAATGGCCTAAGTTCCGTTTTAAATTAAAACACTGCTCAGGCATGCCTTCTTCGCGATCACGAATAAGCCCTCGCGACTGCGAAGGCAAAACTGCCCAAGCCCTTGAAAACCTCTTACGTGATCGTAAGAAGCCCTTCGCGAATGCGAAGCACAGGCAATGCCAACCTACGCGAACGTGACCAGCCCTTCGCGAACGCGAAGGGCATTTCACCTGCCCAGGCCTTCTACGCGAACGCGAACCATCTCACATGAACGCGACGGCCAAAATCTCCCTCTATCCAATTCCTTCATCGCGAACGCGAGGCTTTCTCCGTGTTCGTGAAGAAGCAAACCAGAACAGTAGTTGCCAGAAATTTGAACTTAACTTCGGGTGGTTCGATTCTCACCCGAGCCACCCGAGACCCCGTCCAACTATACCAACAAGTCCATAAACATAATACGGACCTGCTCAAACCCTCGAAACACGTAAAACAATAATAAAACTAAGTATCGCACCGCAAAATCAAATTGAATTAACTTATGAATTTTAAACTTTTCAGTTAGCTCCGAACACGTCGAATCATACTTAGAGTACTCGGAATGAAACCAAATTTTTCATACAAGTCATAAATCACCATACGGACCTATTCCAAGGCTCAGAATCTCAAACGGACCTCGATAACACCAAAGTCTACTACAAATCAAATTTAAAGAACTTCAAAACCTTCAATGCGCCAACTTCCAACATTAGGCGCCGAAATGCTCCCGGATCACCCAAAACTCGATCCGAATATATGCCTAAGTCCAAAATCATCATACGAACTTATTGGAACCATCAAATCCTGGTTCCGTAGTCGTTTACTCAAAATGTTGACTCAAGTCAAACTTGGTCATCTTAGGCCACTATTAAGAATCCAAGTGTTCCAATTTCAATCCGAACCCTTCAAAACCCAAATTATCCATCCCCCGCAAGTCATAAAATAGTAAAAGCACATACGAAGAGTCTTAAATAGGGGAACATGGATCTAAAAAGTAAGATGACCGGTCGGGTCGTTACAAATCCTACCTTTAAACCCTCTGTATTGATTCCTCATATATGTTAGGAGTGATGTTATTCAAAAACTACCTAAATATGTATAATTTTTCAAGCAATACATAATAAATAGGCACAGTCAATTGAGAGCTCTTCAATCAACTGAAATATGCACGTAGTTAAACAAGTAGAGAATTTAAAAGGCTTAATTATATAAAAACGTAATAAGAATTCATCCTCTAAAAGATTCCATTAAAACCCTAGATAAGAAATTAGCTATTCATGATAGTATGTAAAAATACTATATTAGAATTCATAACAATGAAAGAATATGAAGAAAGAGGAAAAAAACATGAAGTTGAATCCTTCTCCTTGCTCCAAGCGTGTTCTTGCCTCCCCAAAGTCTTCTCTCCTTGAAAAAGTGGCTAACTATCATATTTATATCAAGTGGGGTTGAGTTTGGGCGAGTTTGACTTCTCCTAATTCGGATTGGAGAAGCTGATTTTTCTGCTTTGGTCCCGGTCTGGCAAAGAGAACCTCCCTTCGTTGTCCCAGATTTCTCTCTTCCGCTTTTCTTTCGCCAATTTTTTTTCCTATTTGATCCTTTTCCACGGAAGTTTATTCCTAATACAAGAAATACGTAATGAGCTTATTTTCACTTCAAAAGCGGTGTGAATTCCCGTAACTCGCACAAGAAATAAGATGTAAATATACTCAATTATGTATTTTTCATCCTTTATCAATGGTGGATACCCGTTTGTGGTGAAACAAAGCCATATGAGACCTCAATATATGCTACATTTCCTATCTCTATGGCATGTGGTAGTGCTTTATAAGGTTGAATTTATTTTGCTTTAAATGATTCCATTGCCTTAAGATGGTCTATGTTTAGATAGACTTGATGGAATCACCTACGTGAGTGTAAAGGTGCGATCACCTTTTATGAAAGACTTGGGATGTCTTTTTAGAGCGCTCATGAGACCCAAAGTATGTGCATGACCATAAAAATACTTTGTTAGTATCGCGGAGTTTACATAAAATTAAGGATATAGTATGTGTTGTGGAGATCTCAACTAATGTCCATTTAGTTCAAGAGTACTTCACTTTTTGGATGTTGGTTATTGCCTCATTTCACTACGGGACAATTCAAATCGAAAGATATTGACACTTAAGTACATGTTCCTTCTTTTGCCCATAATTGTTCTTATTCTATTTTTGTCTTTGCATTAGTGGGAGATTGTTGGTATTATTTATACTTGGTAATACAAAGTCAAAGATTTCTTTATGGTCCCTTTTTCTTTTTTACTTATTTGTCTTTTGTGAAAGACAAAGTGTCCCTCATCGATTGTGAAAAATTTCTTTATTCTCTTTATATTGAATTGCTCTTTATTCGG